TCCTCCTATGAGTATCTCCGTAACAGAGTAGCCTCACGTCTTCCCAGACACCCACAACTGTCAACCGCGCTTACCCCACCGTCCGAGTGATTGCTTTGGCCAACGCAGTCGCACCCGAGCCCACCCGGACAGCCACAGCTGTTCACTTCTGGGAGTTGTGCACATAATTATTCTCTTATTCTTCCATCTTGTCCTATTGACCATGCTCCTTGAATGGTTATTATGGTAAGGGCACGTCATCTCGCAGTCGTTTTAGTAAGGTCCACGGCACTTCCACATTCCCGGAATGCACACGCTCACTTCATAGACAATATATTACTGTGCTCCTCCAATCACACTTCAACCTTATTTTTTTACCATTCCAGGCGAATATGCGTACTTTACGATCCTGCGTGACCCCATCGAACGTTACATAAGTGAATGGCAGCATGTTCGTAGGGGGGCAACTTGGAAGGCAGCCAAACTCTTGTGTGCCGGCCATCCGCCCCTGCCCAGCGAATATCAGCCCTGTTATCGTTTGTCCTCATCCTCATCGACATCAATAGAAGAAGAAGATGCAGATTCGGACGATCTCACATGGACGAACGTCTCCCTTGATCACTTTGCGGACTGCCGATTCAACCTCGCCAACAACCGTCAAACTCGTATGCTGGCCAGCCTCGAGCCTTTGGGTTGTTATGCCGACCTCACCAACTGGACCGCCGCAGTCCCTGCCGCGGCTACCCGCATCCTGACCTCTTCCCAACAGGCCCTTCTGGACTCCGCCAAGGTCAACCTGGCCACACGGATGGTCGTATTCGTTCTGTCCGAGTACATGTCCTACAGTCAGTACCTTCTCCAGAGAGCTTTCGGCATCGTCTTCCGACAGACATTCTTTGATCCTCAGGCCTCCCCTCATCTGACTCATGCAGATCTAGCCCGCCAGAGTCTGGAGACAAACAGGTTTGGTACTGCAGGCTGGCGTCGCCTTGTTGCCGCGCACAATGCACTAGATCTGCATCTCTGGGCGTTTGCACGTGGACTCTTTGCCGCGCGGTTGGCGGCTGCCCTTCGGGTAGACTCACGCCTTCCTCGTAGCCTCCGCCGTTTGATAACCTCACGCTTGCTTACGTCAGGGCAGCAGGCTCTTATTCTTGATACGAATTTCCGTCGCAGGATAGATCAAGTCCTATTTAAGGTATTTATGCGTCAGCAAGGCGAAAATTACTCCCTCGGTATTCGCCAGAACCA